CCCCAGTTGACCTGCCCCGAATGAAACATCCCCTTAGAAGTTTCAAAAAGCTGGCGACCTGGCTATGCAGTAAGCAAGTGTTATTATTGGTCAATGGCATGTGGATTTCAGAAAAATAAGAGTAGAAGTAAAACTGATATGAAATAGCTAAATTTGATCTCATTTTCGGAATCAGAGGTCGTGATCCCTATATATCTAGCTACCGATATTTGTTTTCCCTGAATAAGACCCTTCTTTGGCGAGTCATGCTTTACTGCTCCTTGTGATCGGATCATCCGCACTGGGAAAATCTGGATTGGAGCGCCATTTGCAGCAGTGTCGACTACAACTCTGGTCTCTCGTGGGTTTCTAGTGATGATCTCGTGGTATGTGAACTCGTTTTGGACTTTGTACGAGTTTGCGCTGTCGAATGCTGCAAAGTTATCCGGGCACGAAATTGTCCACGTCCACAAAGAGCTCGTTCACGCTGACGTCCTCGTCGTTTATCTGGGTATTGTAGCGTTTCTAAGCTGGATTATTCGTGAACGGATTGACCCTGCTATTGCAATATTTCTGTTTGAAATCATACACAAGCACAGACTCAGCTTCATTAAGATATCGCCGCTATTCTAAACAAGATTATAACGTACTCGAACAGCGTCTTTCAGCTCGGTAAAGCTTAAGTGTCGTCGAGTGCTAACGACATGTCTCCGTTAGATTTCTGGTCCACGTTCCAGATTCCTAAAAAAGACGGTACTTTTCTGGCAGCGTCATTTTTCCCGAAGATCAGCTTGTTAGGGCTCATCGTATGCTTCGCTCTGTTACGCAAACTCTATCGACATTTCTATCCGGAACCCATTCATCAAAGCCTTTCGAGTCAAAGCAAGAACCAGTCGGCGAATGAGAAGACAGCGCTGACACTTAAAGGCACGCTAACCAACTTTGAGATCTCGACTGGTGCTGAACTTCAGGCCCGCTTTGGGGTTATTTCTGACTATAAGAATTATGTCTATTTTAGAGGGATGAAGTTTGCGTCTGCAGATGGAGTGTTCTGCTCCGGGTATGTTATTGTACATAGTAAATTTCTGGTAAAGTCGAATGATCTTTTGGCCATTGCGATGATCAAACTCGCCCACGCTCGCTTCACGAATGTATACGTGTATGAGGTGGAAGGCAACACGGTCAAGGAGACAGCCAGACTTGTATACCCGGTAACTTTTGCATGGTCGGATTTGTGGCGACTCAATGTTACAGTGTTGTTGTAAATAAAGAAAAAAAAGAGTACAATGAGATGATATCGACCGATGTATTTGTTGCTTAGGATTAACATGTTCATAACCTTCGCGGGCCTAGATGATCGTTAGCTTGTGGCGCGACAAACTGCTCGTCGGCGCGTGG